TCTATATATTTTGCTATTTTTTACCTTGGTGTCACCCCCTAAATGGTGTCACCCGGTGCGGTCCGCACCCCCCGCCCCCCCCCCCCCCCCCATCGCTACGCCTCTGTACTAAGGTAAGGTAAGGTGAGGTCAAGTAACGTGATGTCAAGTAAGATGAGGTAACAATGTCAAGTAAGTTGAGGTATGGTTAGATAAATGAATGTCAGATAAAGTAAGGTGAGATGAATTAAGATGAGGTTAAGTAAGGTCAAGTAAGGTGAGGTCAAGTAAGTTGAGGTCAAATAAGTTGAGGTCAAGTAACCCAAACAACGCCATGCCCGATGAACTTGTTGAGACGAGTTGTTTCTCCTCCCCACCAGGCCATTGGCGGCAACGTGACGTCCATCACCCAAGGCGGCAAACACATCGAGCTGAACGGGACGGCCGAGCACAACATCAACTCCGTCTGCATCACGCTGATTGGCTCGCACGCCGGCCTTGACCCCCCGACCGCACTGATGGTCGTGTACGTGCTGCCGGTGGGCACGCGGGAAATCTCACGTGACCGGCGAGGTAGGTTGTCGTCTGGCTACTTGAAACTTCTGGGTGATAGGGGACTTAAAATTCCAGAAAGATTAAAGCAGGGGTCGGCGTGGTCGAGTCGGTAAAGCTCATGGTTGCTAAAACCGAAAAGTCTCGAGTTCGAACCTCGGGCAGACGGAGGCTCGTTAGCTGGGGACAGCAATTCCTCTAGGAGAGACAACTCCAAAATCAAACAACTGCTGCCTTGTAGTTTGTTCTTGGTTGGACAAGGGCTATGGAAGCAAATCCCAAAAGAAAAGCAGGCTGAAATCGGAGTCAATGGCCTCAATGGCGCATAACCAGTTAACACGTATACTTAATTGTGTTGGAGGGGGATCCCTTCCAACACTATAATAAAGAAAGAAGAAGAAGAAGATAAAGCTATCTAGACTAGTACTTAAGTTTCCACGTGCAATCTGTCTTGATGGTAACTTGACTTACTTACCTGACAGTCCTCTTTACCGGTCCCGGCTATTAATTTTGCAATCTCACAAGACATCCCTCCTGTCTTCAATTCTTTGAGAAGACTCCTCCTCCACGTCTGTCTTGGGCGCCTTCTCTTCCACTTGCCCTGTGGGTTCCACGTTAAAGTGAGTCGTTTGCAGTGTTTGCCGCACCCAGCGCCACTTCCTCCTTTTTAATAGGGCTGTTAAGTAGGTCACCAACCAGTTCTACGGCTCAATAAAACCTGCATGAGCCATAGAACTGGTTGGTGACCTACTTACCAGCTGTATTGCGCTGTCATGGGCTCCTTCCTTTTCCTTTTCCATAAGTCTATATCTTGATGGTGTCTTGATGGTGTCTGACTCAAAACTTTCTATGCCAGTTTTTTTTCAACTGTTTTTTTTTTCCTTCGCTTAGCTTGAGATTTGTCTAGGGCTAATCTCAACAAGCCATTACTCAAGCAAATGTTAAATATAATCCTAGTTAACCTGAATAAATTATTTCCACATCACTAGTGTGTTTACGTTGTTTTACCGGCAACCTCTCCCGTTTCTTTCGTTTACCGTACAGCCACAGAAATCTGGCACGTGAGCTCCGTGCCGCAGACCTCCAACATCCGGAACCTGCTCCAGCCGTTCGAGCCGTACCACCACCAGTGGGGGGACGACTCCCTGTCCGCCTCCACCAAACACTCCTCCAGCCCCGCCCTGACGGTGCACTACGCTAAAGGATCTTATACCAAGACGCCAGTCAGAGGTGACTCTTGTTTTCACACACACACACACAACACACACACACACACACACACACACACATATATATATATATATATATATATATATATATATATATATATATATATATATATATATATATATATATATATATATATATATATATATATATGCACTGGTTAATTGGACCGGTGACCGGAAAGATGCTTAACGGAAAACTAAGCTGCGAAAATCTGCGCACAAAAAGTGCGCAAGGGCATTTTTATTTTCTTAAATCAAAAATTATAGACGTTAACAAAGAATGACCACAGTACATTAAAACATATTTACGCGACACTTAAAAAATGTAAGTCAAAGTGTTTTAGTATAATTAGTTTGTATTTGCGCATATTCTTTTTGCGCAGTTTTAAGCTTGCGCATGTTTATGGGAAGCAATTGAACTATGTGAATAAGTGATCGTTTTAGTGCCATGCAATTACACGGGCACTGTAAGTCTTGCAATGAATAGTCTTTAAATGGGATTTCTGACGTTTATTTTTCGGTCTACTAATCTACCGGAAAGAAGAACTTCTGTTGCCTAAAGTTTTATGTCCATTCAAAGCGAGCGACCAATGGCTTATTTTTCTCATTGGCTAAAACTTTCATATTAAACAAAATAGGAAGTGTTTCGATATTTTATCATTTTTTTTTTAAATTAATTTATTGTGTGTGTGCATGTGCGTGCGTGTGTGTGTGTGTGTGTGGTGTGTGTGTGTGTGTGTGTATTCAATCCGATTAAAATTAATTGTTTGTCCAATAAAACGAATTTACAATTTTTCTTGTTTCTTGTAGGCGGTGGATTTTTTTCCACCCCCACGAATTTACCAGACGGCCTGACGTCACTGATCCTCAAGTATGACGTGTATTTTGAAAATTTCGGCTTCGGCATTGGCGGGAAAACTTCCGGGTCTTTTTGGCGGCGTCCGCGGCGAGGGGGCGTACTGTGCTCGGGGGGTAACAACCCCTCGACGTGTTTTTCTCTCAGGTAAGGCAGAACAGCTTATAGTGTCGGCAACATGAATTCTGTGTTTCCCGTGGTGGTGCGAAGGGGGGGGGGGTGTTTCCCGGTGTGTTGGTGTCGGGGGTGTTCCACGGGGTAGGTATTGGAAGAGGGCAGATGCAGATATTTTTTTTTAGATTTAAAATTATATATTCTTGCATTGTCATCGGAGATGAATGTAAACTGTAAAAATTAAACGAAGTGGCTGCAATTAGAATTGGGTTTTAAATTGAGTAACAAGATTAGCCACAAATCCACAAACTATCAAACAAACAAATGAAGAAAAAACGAAAAAAACAAACACACACAACAAAACAGACAGACAAACAGACAAACAGACAGACACTGTTAACCAAATAAAAAAGCTTGTACACCATCACGGACGTTCCGTTTTCTCCCAAACTGTGACTTTGACTCTCCTCCCCCCAGGTTGATGTGGCGCGCTAACGGCGACGCGGAAGTCTACGCGTACATCCCAGACAACCAAGCCAGCGACTTCGAGCACCGGTCTGACGTGCATGTCAACTACCAGTACGGTCACTCTCTCATGAGGGGGGCGCTCAAATTTAGGGTAAGCTATGGGGGGGGGGGGGGTCTTATACACCCATCGTGAGGGGGGGGCTCAAATTTAGGGTAGGGCGATGGGTGGTTTTTATACATTTCTTTATTGATGGGGGGGGGGGCGCTCAAACTTAGGGTAAGCTATGGGGGGGGGTCTTATACATCTCTCACTGGGGGGGGGGGGGGTGGAGGGGGACCCTCAAATTTAGGGTAAGCAATGGGTGGGTGTATACATCTCTCGTGGGGGGCGCTCAAATTTAGAGTAAGCAATGGGTAGGCTTATACATTTCTCATGAGGGAGAGGGGGGCGCTCAAATTTAGGGTTAGCAATGTGTGGGCTTATACCATTTCTTTTTTGGGGAGAGGGGGCGCTCAAATTTAGGGTAAGCTATGGGGGGGGGGGGTCTTATACATCTCTCACTGGGGGGGGGGGGGAAGGGGGGACGCTCAAATTTAGGGTAAGCAATGGGTGGTTGTGAGGGTGCAGATGAAGAAGTACCACCAGTTGTGAGGGTGGGGTTTTTTGTTGTTATATGAATGTGTCTATTTGTATACCGTAATGTTTACTATAATACACATCGAGTTCGAGGAACGTACCGTGTTATCGTCTTCTTTAAAATCGTAGCCTGGCACAGTCTGGAATCAACACAAGTGCAATTCAAGATATTCTATGGTTTCTTTATTTACACAAATCAATCTCCTACTCCTACCCTAACTACATCCTAAGTTCTACTGTCTACTACCTCTATCAAACTGCTCCCTAACTCTACATATCTCCGACCGTTTCTCTACCGCTACCTATCTCCCCACGCTCCGTGGTCATCTGACCATCTCACGTGATCGGTCAGCTCCTGTATTTCCTATTGGTCTAACCAGTGTTTTCTTCCAGAATTTTTTCTCCGGGGGGGGGGGGGGGGGCACTTGAAATCTTCGGGGGAGGGGGGGGGGGCGGACACTGTTAAAGGTATATATTTTCTATATAAATTGTATAAATTTCATTTCGTTCGGGGGGGGGGGGCGGTAAAAAATTTTCGGGGGGGATGCCTGGAAGAAACTCTGGGTCTAACTAACTCAGCTATACTCTGTTTCTACTAACTTCTACTTGACCTATCTGACGTAAACTTGCGTCATCACAGTGGTGTTATACATCTTTCGTGCACTTCTGGGTATTGGGGGGGGGGGCTTATCTGGATATGATCCAAATGTCGCCTAATAGGAAATTACTTTATTTTTATAGCAAAAACCACTCCTATAAACGTGACCATTATACCGACCTTAACCTTAACCTTAACCTTTCACCCCGCCACCCCCCACCCCGCAGAACAACCAATGGCAGACGGTGACCGAGGAGGTGCCACCTCAACACCCCCCACCAGTTCGACGGACGGGTCAAGCTCTGCGTGCAGCACCAGGGGGAGGCCCAGCAGTGCCACGAGGTCGCGCGCCTCAACATCCGCAACGACCCCAACTTCTACCTGCGCGGGTTTCTTCTTCTCCACCTTCTTCGGGGGCAGCACGCCGGACTTCGCCGCGCCCAACGACTGCCACACCTACTTCAAGGCCATCAGCCTGTCCCACGCCCACCGGCACGGTGGTTGGATGAACGGAGTCACGTGGTTATATTGACGTTTTGTTTAAAAGAAGAAAAAAAAGCGAAGCATAAAATTGTAATGAATGAAATTAATAAAAATTCCCTTTAAAACAATGTATTACTATTAAACAGAATGTATACACCTTACTAATAAAGTTGAAATACGAGTTTTAAAAATGAGTCCATTAAGGGGTCTTCCATAAATGACGTCACGCTTTTTTTCGTCGATTTTTATCTCCCCCCCCCCCCCCCCCCCCCGTAACACGTCGTCACAAAAGCCAGACCCCCACCCATACAATGACGTCACACCTCAGCCTACAACCCCCTCAAAATTGCAGTTGAATTTTTTTTAAAACATCGATATTTTTCCAAAATCTTGTCAGAACTCTGTCAACATAGAGTATTTTTATCAATTCCTATTACAATTTATTAAAAACGGTTTTCTAAAACGCGAAATAACGGTTAAAATTCGTTTTCTAACATTGCTTTTATATAATGCAAAAAAGTGACGTCACACCATCTGAACCCCCCCCCCCCTCCCCCCTCATCACACACCGTCACAAAATTACGGGACCCCTCCTCCCCCCCCCCCCCGCTACGAGTGTGACGTCATTTATGGACGACCCCTAATGATGTCAAGTTATTTTGACGAGTTTACTTCCCCCACCCCCCTTGTCACACATCGTCCCAAACAGCCAGACCCTTCCCCAACCCCTAAAATGACGTCCATACCGCTGGTCTACGCTACCCCCTCTCTAAAAACTGCTACAATTCCGTTTCGAACATCTATGTATATAATTCTCTTCATGGAAAACCTTACTAGGACACCACGCAGCTTAGCCGTTCCTACCCCGCTTTCTAGGCATATCGCTACCACCCTCGGCGAGCTATGGTTCACCCCGAATGTAGAGCCGGTTTCGAATAAGTGACGGCTATAAAGGGCAGATAATTTAGTTTTTAAACGATTTGAAACAAAGGGGAGATAATATGTTCTGCTTGATATTTTCATTGTCGTCTGTATACTGCTGCTTTCACGAAGGGGGGGGGGGGGGGGGGAGACTGGGGTGGGGGTAGTGTCGAATTCACAAATTATGAATTGTTGATAAGTAGAAAATAAACAATTAGATAGCGGCGTATGCTACGTCGCGGGTCAGCTCGTTACTTTTTAAATAAAAAAATGTGTCGTCACTTTTTCTGAACCCCCCCACCCCGCCCTCCAGAATTTTGACGTCATTTATTTAGTACCCCTAAAGTATATCATGCTGTAGGGACGGCGTGGTCGAATGGTAGAGCCTACGGACTGGTAGCCCTAGAGTCCTCGTGTTCGAATCTCCGCCTCTCCGAGAACCAGCGAGATGCGGTTCTAACCGGCAATAAATCTTAAACAAATGCTGAAAAAAGTCCACGTATTAGATTCTTTTTAACTTTTTTTAAATTAACATTGAAATATTTCTGTTTTCTTTCAAAAAACTCGACAAAGCAATAAAGTTTCAAGCATTGTCTCAGCTCGAGTATAAGTGTTAGGGAAAGTCTTTCTTGGAGGTAGTACCCCCAACCCCTCGGACGAAATAGAGAAAAATATAAAATTTAAATACAAAATATAGCCCATAGGGCCTTCATCAGAAAAAAAAATTTTTAATAGAAAATATAGCCTATACATCATAAAAAAAATACACTTAAATAGAAAATATAGCCTATACATCAGAAAAAATATAAATTTAGATACAAAATAAATACATTAGGAAAAAAATTTATATTTAAATAGAAACTACATACACTCACTCGTACCAACATAAACACACACGCATACAAAACAAACACAAGCACGGGAACTATGTGTTTAAAACATTAAATCAAACTAAATTAATTGTTGGCACCACAAGATCTTAAACAGAATTTCAACGTAGAATTCTACTACACTATCTTGGATATGGGTCTATCGTCTATTGAAGAGAGATTCCAACAATTAGAACATTATATTCTATTTGGCATCCTTTATGAAATGTACAATGACAACAAAAAGACACCTGCGGATATGCTTAGTGGACTGCAAATATTTCGAAACGTCGTCGACGCATAACGCTAATAAAGCTGTTGTTGCTGATGATCTTTGCAATGAGCTTCAAGTAACAGCTTCCTAAGCATATGTCACCGTCAGATGCCATTCTCTATATAGTACAACTAAAATTGGAAGATTATGTACCAAATGTTGTTGTTTTCTTTGAGTTTACTATAAACACTTACAGTGTCCGTTGCTAGTGGAGAGCGCAGTTTTTTTTCAAAAAGTAAATTACTTACATTTGAGGAGCTACAATACCGCCAGTGAAAAAAAAAAAACAAATCGACGACGACAGTGATTGTTCTACAGTAACTAACACACACTGTTGCGTAGAGAAATTAAAAAACTGCGACGGGCATAAATGAGATTAAGGCGTTTTAAAACTCGAATATTTCAGGCCAGAATGAGTTTGAGTCTATCTCATTGTGGTTTGTTGTCTCATGGTGGATATATTTGGCAATGATAAAGGTTAAATGGTTTAATTTAAAATTTAGTGAGACAGTAGTGTGTGTATATATATATATATATATATATATATATATATATATATATACATATATATATATATATACATATATATATATATATATACATATATATATATATATATATATATATATACATATATATATATATATATACATAATATATATATATATATATATATATATATATATATATATATATATAATTATTGCGGTGGGGGGGCGATACATTTTTGCCTAGGGCGCTACATAACCTACCGCCGGCACTGGCGATACTACATCGGCTGTACGTTTGACCCTGTCAGTGGGTTTGTGAGGGGAAAAAAAAGTGACTCCAAAGACTAGTGAACGTTAAAAAAGAACTAGGGGAAGGAACTAGCTTAAAACTGTAGGTTGTAATATATAAAATGGTTACTTCCCTTAGAACGTGAAAAAAAATAAATTAATGTATATTGTTACTTATATTGTATTAAATTGTATTAATTAATATAACACTATAAGTAGTGCAAGTAATTATGTTAACATTAAGACTTTTCTGAGCTGTATAATCACGTGACTTATTCCCTCCGCTTACACCTGCTTTTTTTTGAAAATCATTCGTGTATGTATATATATATTTATATATGTATATATATATATATATATATATATATATATATATATATATATATATATATATATATATATATATATTATGTATATATATATATTATGTATATATATATATTATGTATATATATATTATGTATATATATATTATTTATATATATATATATATATATATATATGTATTCCACTAAACAGTTAAAATCACATCCAGTAATAAGCACAGGGGGTGGGGGTATGAATCAAATATAAAAAATAAATTATAATTAGTCCCCAAGTGAACAACAAAAACACCAAAAAATTTCAAATTTTTATTTCGATAAACATAATATAAAATAAAACGTTGAATATAAAGGTTTAATGTTATAAGTAAACTCTATAGACCGTCCAACAGTTATAGCTTAAAGCGATAATGCCTTGTGTATGTGAAGTAAACAGGAAAAATAATTAATTAATTAATCTACCTATATGATCCCTGGGTAGGGCGGGCGTGGTTTCGTTATCCCCCCCCCCCCCCCCTCCAACATTGACTTTGATATATTTTAGTAGCCCAGGAATAAGTATTCGATGTTTTAAGTCTTTGGTCTTACGGTGAAAATTTGCAGTGAGGGCCCTGCAGTGAAACCTGCCAATGGAACCCTGTAGTGAAACCATGAGGTGAGACCCTGCAGAGAGAGCCTGCAGTGAAACCTAACAGTGAGACCTTTCAACCACTACTAGTCCAGCAGTGCGACCCTGTAGTAGATCTTACAGTCTTTACTGACCTTTAAACCCTGCAGTGAAAGTGAGACTCCAAAGTGAGACACTCTAAAGTAACTTTCGTAGCACTCCAAAGTAATACTCCAAAGTAACACTTCACAGTGAGACTCCAAAGTAACACTTCAAAGTAACATGTTAAAGTAATACTCACAAGTAACACTTCAAAGTGATACCCCAAAGTTTCACTGCAAAGTATCACTACAAAGTAGCACTCGAAAGTAACACTCTAACGTTAGACTACCCATTGAAACACATCCGTGAGATTCACTGTGATACTCGAGCTCCTTGTAATCTGATATTCTGTAAATCAACAACATAATAACTAATTGTTCCGGCTCCATAATGATCGTCATTTCATAGCTACGACCTATAATCCAGTTCATTAAAAATCTGTAGGTAATAATTATAAAACAATGGATATAATTAAAATTAGATTATTTAAACAATTTTATTATTAAAATTAGTTTCTAATATAATGTATATGAGTCATATACTATATGATAATTAAAATCAGCTTAATCCTAATTGGAGAAAAAAATGTATATAATTAAAATTAGCTTTAACCTATGGGGTCATCCATAAATGACGTCACACTCGTAGGGGGGAGGGGGGGGGGTTCGTAATTTTGTGACGATGTGTGATGAGGGGGAGGGGGGGGGGGGGTGTTCATATGTTGCGACGTCACATTTTTGCATTATAAAAAAGCAATGTTAGAAAACGAATTCTAGACGTTATTTCGCGTTTTAAATAACTGTTTTAATAAATTGTAATAGTTAGACAAGATTTTGGAAAAAAATTCAACTGCAATTTCGAGGGGGATTGTAGGTTGAGGTGTGACGTCATTTTAGGGGAGGGGGTCTGGCTTTTTCTAACGACGTGTGACGGAGGGGAGGGGGAGGTAAAGATCGTAAATAAAAGCGTGACGTCATCTATGGATGAACCCTATTCAATAAACATAATGAATTTGATAAATTTTAGAATATATTTTTAAGAAAACAACAACTTAGATTGTATACTAATATTGTAAATGCAACAAAATTTATTTTATTTACTTCAAATGGTAATAGAATTGTATAATAGTTCTGCACCGCCAAAGATATTGTTTGAATTTTATTGTAATTATTTGGAATATTTTTTCTCTCCGGATATTCGATGATTTACCACGAAACACTTCAAACAATCAGAATTATTTCCCTTTATCAAGCCGTCGATTATTCACTCACATACCGTTACCTAGCAACCGCTTCACTTCGAACAAAATCTGATAATAAAAATATGGGCAAACAAACAACACACACGCACGCAAACCCTTCACACAGAGAAATTCCTCTCCCCCCTTCCCTTTCCCACCCCCCTTTGGATCAGTCGACGCTCAGACGTATACTGTTGCTAGGCGACATGTAAACATCTTGATAAATGACCTTGAGCCTCGCCGCGGACCGGGCCAGCGACTCGGCCGGGTAGTGCCGGAGCAGGTTGCAGTCCCGCAGGAAGAAATGGGGCAGGTCCTGGTTGTCCAGGGCGAAGATCAAGTCCCGGAAAAGTTCCAGAAACCTCTCCGCCAATTTTTCCGGCCCCCACGCGCCCTCCGCCGGCCACCGGAAACACTGGTGGAGCAGGAGGGTTTTGACGTGGTACGAGTTGACCGGGTGGAATTCATCTTTGTCCGCCTCGCGGATCGTACGGAGAATTTTCTCGCAGGCTTTTCTAGACACGACCGGAAGATCGGGACCGTGAGCCGGCACCGGCCGGAGAAGATACTTCTCTGACATGTCGAAGGATATCCTAAACAGCGACGGGTCCGCCGGGTTCGCCGGACACGGCAAGGCCAGGGCGTAGAAGCCGAAGTCCTTGGCGATCTTAGCGTCGTTTTCTGTCAGCCAATCGTTGGTGGCTTCCGGCCAGGCGGCCGAGCTGATTGGCCACTCGTGTTGAAATAGGAAAGCCGGGACGAGCTCGAAGAAGAAGAGATCGGGTCCCTTTGTGATCTTGACCACTGTGTAGGGTTCTGGGGAGAGAGAGAGAGAGAAAATAATAGTTAAGCGAAAATTCAATGATGTATTAGTAGATCCCTATTGAAATACAATATTGTTTTTAATAAATCTCAAAACACACACTCATACCCCCCCCCCCCCCACACACACACTTGATCACTGTGTAGGGTTCTGGAGAGAGAAAAAAAATAATACTTAAGCGAAAATTCAAAGATATATGAGTAGATCCATATTGAAATACACTGTTGCAGAGGCGTAGCGAGGGGGGGGGGGGTACATATGTCCACGGGCGCCGACCCTAGGGGGCGCCAAAATGGATTGAAAAAAAATTAAAAGCTCATTTTAACTGCAGTTTTGCATTATAAATATAAAAATATATGTGGGGGGGGGGGGGGTGTGCCAAATTGAAAGTTTGTTCCCGGTCGCCGGGAAGGGTCGCTACGCCATTGCTACACACCCATTCACCCCCCCCCCCCCCACACACACATACACACACATATTTATTGCAGTACCCAACGCTAACAAAAAACTTTAAAGAACAAAATTCGAACTCTTCCTATTATAATGCAAAAAAAAAACCCTTGCAAAACACCTATGTGATTTAAGTGAAAAAAACTATGTTCAACAAGTAGATCAGTGTACAAAATGTAAAGCTGTATGCCTTAAAAGATAAATATACACATGTGCAGTATTGATAAAGTGCAAGATCTTAAAACTAATCGTGAGACACCCCCCCCCCCCCCCCCACACACACACACATCGCACACACTCCCAAGTTAATTGAAATTTGTGTTACAACGCCGTCCTAAAAATATTAGCTCAGAGAAATTTGTATTCCATTTTTTTTTTTTTGGAAGGAGAGTTTTGATTTATGTTTTTTTTTTAATATAAAAAATTCAGGATGTGAATTTCTGGCTTCTTTGTGTGCAGAGTTTCTTCCAGTCATCTATTCGTCACCAGAGTTTCTTCCCCGAACCAAATGAAATTTATATAATTTATATAGAAAATATATACTTTTAACAGTGTTCGCCCCCCCCCCCCCCGAAGAAAGTCTACCGCCCCCCCCTCCCCGAAAATTTCAAGTGCCCCCCCCCCCCCGGAGAAAAAAGTCTGGAAGAAACACTGTTCGTCACTGCCAATATATATCTGCGTCTTTGCTATATGTCAACTTTCACTGCCAATATGTCTGCGTCATTGCTATATGTCAACTTTCACTGCCAATATGTCTGCGTCATTGCTATGTCAACTTCACTGCCAATATGTCTGCGTCATTGCTATATGTCAACTTTCACTGCCAATATGTCTGCGTCATTGCTATATGTCAACTTTCACTGCCAATATGTCTGCGTCATTGCTATATGTCAACTTTCACTGCCAATATGTCTGCGTCATTGCTATATGTCAACTTTCACTGCCAATATGTCTGCGTCATTGCTATATGTCAACTTTCACTGCCAATATGTCTGCGTCATTGCTATATGTCAACTTTCACTGCCAATATGTCTGCGCCATAGCTATATGTCAACTTCACTGCCAATATGTCTGCGTCACTGCCATATACACAACATGCCCGCGTTGTCCACGGGAATGTTCCACGTGAATCCTCCCCTCCCCCCTCCCACCCCCACCCTGAGTCGATCAATACATGAGAGACATCACATCGCCAGGCCAGTGGAATTTTTTGGTCTCACAGACACATCACAGAATGGCCTTCACCTAGTGTCAGCTCGACCTTCACCTTTGTGCCCTGAAATGCTCTTATGAGTCTGGTGAGTTCCTAGCCAACGGACATGACCTTGGTTAGTGTTAATGGTTATGATTATGGTTATGGTAAAATTACGATTAAGTAAAATTGGCCTTTTAAAAAAAAATGATGTCGCCCTCTTGGATGGTGTCACCCGGTGCGGTTGGCAGTTCCCCCCCCCCCTCACCCCCCCCCCCCACACACACACACACCGTGAGGCGGTTTCTGCAGGAGCTGAGGTTTATGTTAATTTTAGTGTAAGGGTTACGGTAAGGTAAATAAGGAAATTGGCCATGATTTAGGTAACGAGACCAAAAAAGAATAGTTCAGATTGGCAGCTTAATCGAAAAATCGTAAGTTCTACTGCCAAAACAATGTTTTATCCAATTTTTTAAAACAAGTTAATAAAAAGTCTAGTGACAATTTAAGCGCAATTTCCTTAATTAATTTTTTGTGACCGAACGAAAGGATATTTTTGAAAACTTTCTTCGGCAATATTGTTCTAAAATATGGCAGGAATCGATTGGTAAATGTTTCAAGTCGCTAAGTGGTCTGGTTGCCGAGATATGGGCCAAAAACTGCATTTTTTCGAGGTTTTTTTTGGTTTTTCCGGGAAATCCATGAAAGAAACCCGGAATTTTTTTTGGCCCACTATCATCCTGGTAACTTGCTTAACATAATTGCTTTTGGAACTAGTCCTCGATATTGCTTCGTTGAGGAGGAGATACGACTTAAAGCTGCGGACACACATACATCCATACATTCATTCATTCATTCATCCATCCATCCATTCCCAGAAATGACGAGTTAATAAACGCAATTCTCCAGAATGGAAATTGCGCTAAAACCGGTAAACTATGTGAGATGTGTGGACAGGAAACAATAGAAAGGTAAATCATTGAGAGGGAATGGCGATGGCTTATGCACATGCTTAGGAAGGATGCTGGAAATAGAGCCAGACAGACCCTGGAGCAGAGGCGTAGCGATGGGGGGGGGGCAGGGGGGGGGGGACATATGTTGCCGGGCGCCGACCTTAGGGGGCGCCAAAATGGGTTGTTAAAACAAATTAAAATGTCAATTTAGCTGCATTTTTGCAGTTTGAGGGGGGGTGGGGGGGTGGGTGCAAATCGAAAGTTTGAGGGGGGTGCAAATTGAAAATTTGCTCCCGAGAGGGTCGCCAAATTGAAACTTTGTCCCCGGGCGCCGGTAAGGACGCTACGCCTCTGCCCTGGAGTGGAACCCCCGGGGCACGTGACGTAGGGGTCGACCCAGGAAGACGTAGTATGCTGGAGGAGGCCGAACAGATAGGAAAAAATTGGGGAACAGTTGAAAAGAGTAGCAGGAGACAGTTGAGAGTGGAAAGCTTTGACAGAGGTTCTATGCTCCACAAGGAACATAAAGGAAAAATGATGATAAGAGATTAACTTACCCTGTCATAGCATTTCGTTACATTTTTTTTTCTCTTGAGTGATGTTTGATCCATCCGTCCGTCCGTCCGTCCGTCCGTCCGTCCGTCCGTCCGTCCGTCCGTCCGTCCGTCCGTCCGTCCGTCCGTCCGAGCGTCCGTCCGTCCATCCATCCGTCCGTCCATCCATCCGTCCGTCCGTCCGTCCGTCCGTACGTCCGTCCGTCCGTCCATCCATCCATCCATCCGTCCATCCATCCATCCATCCATCCATCCATCCATCCATCCATCCATCCATCCATCCATCCATCCATCCATCCATCCATCCATCCATCCATCAATAACGAATTAATAATCGCAATCGTCAGTATGGAAATTGCGCTAAAAAGTTAATTCGGTAAGGGGAGAGCGGTGACACCAAACCAAAAAAAGCAACATTGTAAGAGGGGATGGGGGTGACAATATCTATTGCATTTTATTTGCAACATTGCTTTTGTACTTTATGTGCAACATAGCTTTTTACACTTTATTTGCAACAATAGCTTTTGCACTTTATTTGAAACATATTTTTGCACTTTATTTGCAACATTTCGTTTTGCACTTTAGTAAAATAAAAGAAAGCATTAACCTCAGAATTCGCTGATAATTTTAAATTCCCTTTTAAGATCGTCCATGAAAACACCGACTTAGCAATGGATAAAAAGCAGGATTAGACAACTCTCGCGGGGATTCACGAGACCAGCGCTAGTCCCCCGTGAGATAAGACCGAGAATTGTGCCATTTGTTTCCTCGAAGACAAAAATAATGATTCCATCTCACGACTGCAACAAAATTATGTTTCTGTTTCAATTCTGTTTGCGATGTGCACATTTTAGACTAATTTTGTTTAAACCCCAATATAACTCATATATCGTTTTATAACAGCAAATATTAAAATTCCGCGTGAAAGGGATTATATCTCCGAAGCCGAATATAACACGAAATATACTGAAACTCGTATAATATAACATATATCCTAAAACCTCATACGACGGCAAATATCATAAAACCTCATACGACGGCAAATATCATAAAACCTCATAAAACGGCAAATATCCCAAATATCCCAAAACCATGTATCTACTATGGACGGGCCCCTCTAAATTTCGTTTCACTTCCTGGATCCTTATTTTGCAATTATTGCCGCCTAGACCGGAGATGCTGAGAGTTAAAACAATTTCAATAAAAATATATACAGTAAACCCCTAAAAATTGGAGAGACTAATAATATTTTTTAATAAAACATCTTATAGTCTTCTTCTTCGTTCTTAATTTAGTTTTTATGTATATATATATATATATATATATATATATATATATATATATATATATATATATATATATATATATCCTAAACGAATCTATAACCTTTAAAATACAATTACAGGGAAAAACTCTAATCATTATAAATATTACAAAAGTAGCATGTTGAACGTAATAATGCTCGTGACTATCAGAATATTTACCGTAGCATTTCGCGCAACACACTATCAGAAAATTTACTGTACCACTTTTCGCATCAGTCTATCAGAATGTTTACTGTACCATTTCTTGGACCACTCCATTAGAATGTTTACTGTACCATTTCTCGGACCACTCCATTAGAATGTTTACCTTACCATTTCTCGCATCACATTATTAGAATATTTACTGTACCACTTCTCGAATCAGTCTATTAGAATGTCTACCGTACCATTTTCCGCATCCTTCTATTAGAACGTTTACTGGAACATTTCTCGCATCAGTCTATTAGAATGTTTACTGTACCATTTCTCGCGTCGCTCTGTCAGAATGTTGACAAAAAGTTGACATGTAATTTGAACGTT